GTGTATGTGCATGTACATGTGTGCATATATGTGTGTGTGTGTGTATGTATGTATGTACGTATGTATGAATATATGCATAGGGATTTGGGTTCATGAATCCCAAAGACTATAGCCCCTGGACTCTAATCCTAAACCCTGAACTCTCAAACCTGCATGTCAGACTTCGATAACTGCTTCATTCTGGGCTCTTGGGCTCTTGCTTGCTTGCTTGGTTGCTTGCTTGCTTGCTGACTGGCTGAGCACAAGAAACGGAAAAAATACAAAAATAAACGGAAAAAATACCGCAAAAATAGCGCCACCAGGCCAAAAACTGATCGGACAACTCCGCAGCGGTCACGTTGAGTCATGAATGCCGAAGCTGGCTCTGCTCTCTGCTGTTCAGCTTCCGATTGCGACGTTGCCCTTAGCCGCATTTCGCTCTTTTGACGAGCTACTGCGAATGGCAACGTCGACTGCCAACTCCACGTTGTGTTCCGCTTCCTGTTCCTGCAAGGCCAAGCTCATTGAACTCGGTTTGACCGCCGAGCATCCCCGCTGGGCCTGCGCAGGGTCAAGGCCATCCACGCTGATGACTCCTGCTCGAGGAGGTCGTAACTCACCTCTAGGACACATCGAAAAAGAAACTTGCGACCCTCACCACAGCGCGACTCAGGCTGCAGGGCGGCCTTCCGTGGACTGGGCTCGGCATGGAATTCCTGCGGACGGCTTCAGAAGCCATTACTTCGTCGGGTCCATTTGCCTTGCTCCGTCTGGAACTTGCAGGAACCGGGAATAGATGCAAAAATCTGCAATCCAACAACACATAACTGTCGGTTGTGCATGCAAGCCTGCTGAAGTGTCCCCAGGGCGAGGTATCATTTTGTTTATATTCCGCTGCAGCAACATCATGTCATGTCCTGTGTTCTCACCACTCAGACTATGCAATTCGAGCTGCTTGCTGGCCTGTCCGATGCTTTCAGGATTCCCTTGTTCAAGGCCATCAATCTGGCTGACTTGCCCTGGTCTTGCCGACTTCAACTAAAGGAATGCTTCTTGTGGTACCAGCACGCTCGTGGCCCGCTCGGAATCTTCAGGCTTTTCCGAATGCGGCATGTACGCCAGGTCATACTCGGCAATTCCACGCACAGCTCGGTTGCACGAAAAGATTTGTGGACTCTCTGTCGAACTGATGCCTGAAGCAGAAGGCCCACCGTCGAGTGGACCTGACTTGTGAATGATGGCTTTGAGATCCAACCCACTACATGATGTATCCGGTTGAAACTTCGACATGGGACATGGATGGCACAGTGATTCTTCGCACAGTTCGCTTGCGGCGAGAGGGAAGCACACGTATTAAAACAGGAAACCCTTGACAGCTACACTACTCCAGATCCGTGCGCGAGGAGGAGCGGATGACTGAAACGGCCAGTACCCTCGAGTTGTGCAGAAGTGGATGCACACAATGAGTCCCACCACATTCCCGCGAATCTAAAAGCAAGAAAACTGCGAAGAACAAGAAGAGATTATTTTCAAAATATATTTTTACATACTATATAGATATATAAGATTGAACATTCGACAAAATATCGGCGGAGCAGAGACCACCGAAGTGGACGGCGCATTGCATGCACCTTCGTCCAAGTGTTAAGGCGCACCCTTGGGGTACATGAGTGGCATGCCAGCACACCACACTACTTTGGGCAGAGATTTCCGATGAGTTGACCGATCCGATTCTGGAACTCTATCGGGGCGTAGCATCGCCGCGTTGACCGGCGATCTTTGGGCCAGTTCTCTACAGGGCATCTTGATTGTTGCAGGAGCCCGAGAATTTGGAAAGAACCGCTGTTCCAAAACAGTTCAAACAGGGCCTGCTTCTTGGTGACCTCGATCTTGTCTCCATCCCAAACCGTGGCACCTCTCGCGCGGGAACTGCTTCGGCGTATCACGACACTACGAATGATGCGACTGATACCTTCGCCTCTCCTGCAAAGTACACGAACAGCGGGAGGCCCACGACTGGCAAACGACACGAGTGCGGCTGCAAACGCTGACCAAGCTGGCGCACACAAGGTGGTACAGTGGCAGGCTCGGAATCCGCAGAGGCGATGGTACCTATGGGCATTAGTGTGCTTGTGCCGACGTTTGGGATGCTTTGCCGTTACGGCTCAGGGCTCAGGGCCTGCTTCCACGGCAAGGACGGATCAGGCAAGAAGCGGACCTGCAAGTTGCCTTGCCTCGACGAAAGCAGGACTCTCCGACACCGAGAAGCCCTGTGCAAGCACCGTGCCACAAGCTGTATTCAGCCGCTAGATGGTGTCGTGCTCGCGGAGGTGATGCGCTGACCTCGGCTTCCGCATCGAAAGAAGACGAATAGAAGGAAAGCCTCAGCCAGCCGCTCGGCTCCACGAAGCAGGAGAGAGGAGTGCAGTTAGCAAGGACAAGAAAGCCTAGGCCAGCTTCAAACAGGTGCTGCCACTGCAGATTGTTTCCTGTACACGCACAAGTTTCCAATTCTCCAACAATCTTAGAGCATTGCGGAAGCACTCAGAAACCCAGTCACGACAGCAATGGCCTCACAGTAACACTGCTTGCGAAAATGCTAGCTGCACCCCTTCCCACGTATTGCACCTGCAGCTGCATCTCGCATCGATGTCCATTGCTTGCCACATATTCTCTTACCAAACGCAGTAATGCTCGAGAGTCTCGGGCCATCTTGCTGTTCCATTGAGGATTGCAGGTGCTTGGGGGGTGTCTGTCTTCCGGCTCAAGCTTGGAAACGGCTAGCACAGTGACTGTGCTTGAAGCATGCAGCACGAATGACGTGCTGCCGACCACCAGTGAGCAAGATCTGCCTTCCAGTGCTCATTCTGGCAGTCTCGGCTGCAATACATCTCGACCTTAATCCACTGAGGAGATACTACTTCGACCCCCCCGCATTGGCCAGCACGATGTGAGCTGTAGCCACTGTAGTCGTGACCGAGTTGGGAAACTGTGCCAGTGCCTCACCAAACCGGATGCTTGCAACTTTTTGAACCAGCCAAAGCCGCGAAGACATCTGCGCAGCAAAACCGGCAGCTGGTGCTCTCGATGACTACCGCTTGGCCTGCAACAGCTAACCACAGCATCCACTCACCCCTTGCCCGGATAAAAAGCACTGCCTCCAAGTCCATCTTATCGCTGGAGTCGCGGAGAAGCGGCTGGGCCTCCTTCGCGAAACGCCCCCTCGCTGGCAGATGCTGGCACTGCCGCTACCTTCGCCCCTTCGCCTCGCTACTTGGGCTTTGGGTCCCGTTGGCTTCGCAGCTCCATGGTCGCTTTGGACATGCCCAGGAAGCCTGGGAGGCGACAGTGGCAAACGTTTTCGGAGACACAACTTGGTCCGGCGGGAGGCTTTTGTAGAAGAGTGTGGCAAAAACCAGGACGATCCCGGCCAGCTGCCACAACGTCATTGTGTGCGCATAAGTTATGTAGGACCTTCGGTCAATTAGGACAGAGTTCGAGAGTCAGCAGATGCGGCAGCGATATGCGTCGATACTTTCATACATATATACATACACGTATGTGTATATATACATGTGGAGGTATACATATATATATATCTCTTCATACGTATATATACATATACACATTTATACAAATTTATACATATGCAGATCCGTCGCTCCATCCATCCACCCACCCATCCATCCATGCATGCATGTACATACATATGTCTGGATAAAGTATATGAACATTTCGTGAACCATAAATCAAACATGCTACTCGCCCCACGGATCTAACACTTCAGGGGCAATCCATGGACAACGAAAGCTCAGCGGGCGTTTATCCGCCAGAGCACCGTAAGTGTAGTACTAATGGTAGTAGTAGGAGTAGTAGTCGTCGTCGTCGTCGTGGTCGTCGTGCCGTAGTAGCTGTAGCAGTAGCAGTAGCGGCAGCAGTAGCAGTAGCAGTAGCAGTAGCAGTAGTTGTAGCAGTAGCAGTAGCAGTCGTAGTCGTAGTAGTAGTAGTAGTAGTAGTAGTAGTAGTAGTAGTGGTAGTAGTGGT